AAGCAGTGACTTGCTTGAGCTCTCCCCCAAACCCCTCCAAATACTCATAAAAAATGGCTCTAAACAAATTCTGAAGCAGCAGAACCCACAAAAAGACAGCGTGAAACAAATTTCCAGCCCAAGACAACCTGGATGATTGATCGGAAAGGTGTATTGTGCTGGGCTGGGAGCGCAGCGTGGCGTGGGTGCGCAGGCCGCAGTGTGGGCGCGGGCTGCAGCAAACCTGGAGCAGGCCTCAGAGGACTGAATCTCGGGCAGCTGTGGAGGTTTCCAGACTCCTCAATCCACCAATGCCAAAGACAAATTAGAAGGTCAGTGGGAAAAGTCTGTTTCTGTCGGTGCCTGAGAAAGGAAGGTGGGGTTTCAGCTCCATTCCCCAAGAGCGTGGTGGGGGGGGCAGCTGCTTCCCGAGCTTCCGGCCCACAGACTGAGGGGGAATCCAGTGGCTGATCAGAGAGGGATTGCAGGGATCTCTTTGCCAGTGCTGAGGCAGGAATCTCTTGCTTTGCCCGTGTTTGGATCTGGGCCACAGTTCTGGGCAGCAGTGCTGGGGTGAGGAGGAGCGCTGGCGTGGTGGAGCTTGCAGTGGCTGTGGAGAGGACAGTTACAGGACAGAAAGTAGTACTTGTAATCACAGGCCAGGAAAGGAGTAAACACCTAGCCCCTTATCATACCACCTTGGAAGAACTGAAAATTTACAGGTCCCTACAAGTATCTCTGAAAACAGCTGTACAAATCCCTGAAGCTTGGGACAGTACATTCTCCACATTGGAAGCAGATTTGTACCTTAACAAAGAGTTTAAAACTCAAGTAATTGGCCGGGATCATGAGCAAGCAGCGCAAAAAGAGTCAGACTATATTATCTTACTTTGGTGAAAAAGAAGACCAAAATATACAAAGCCCCTACATCCAAAGCCTCCAAGAAAAATATGAATTGGTCCCAGGCCATGGAAGAGCTCAAATTTTGAGAAGCAAGTTAGAGAAGTAGAGGAAAAACTGAGAGTGATGCTAAAGGAGACCCAAAAAAATACTGAAGAAAATAACACCTTAAAAAAGCCTAACCCAAATGGCAAAAGAGGTCCAAAAAGCCAATGAGGAGAAAAATGCCCTAAAAAGCAAAATTGGCCAGATGGAAAAGGAAGTCCAAAAGCTTACTGAAGAAAATACTTCCTTAAAAATTAGAATAGAGCAATTGGAAGATAGTGACTTTATGAGAAATCACGACACAGTAGAACAAATCCAAAAGAATGAAAAATTAGAAAACAATGTGAAATATCTCATTGGAAAAACAACTGACCTGGAAAATAGATCCAGGGGAGAGAATTTAAAAATTATTGGACTATCTGAAAGCCATGATCAAAAAGAAAGCCTAGACATCATCTTTCAAGAAATTATCAAGGAAAACTGCCCTGATATAGTAGAACCAGAGGGCAAAATAGAAATTGAAAGAATCCACAGATCTCCTCCTGAAAGAGATCCCCAAAGGAAAACTCCTAGGAATATTGTAGCCAAATTCCAGAGTTCCCAGGTCAAGGAGAAAATATTACAAGCTGCCAGAAGGAAACAGTTCAAGTACTGTGGAAACACAATCAGGATAACACAAGATTTAGCAGCTTCTACATTAAAGGACCGCAGGGCATGGAATATAATATTCTGGAGGGCAAAGGAGATAGGATTACAACCAAGAATCACCTACCCAGCAAAACTGAGTATAATCCTTCAGGGGAAAAAATGGTCATTCAGTGAAATAGAGGACTTTCAAGCATTCTTGATGAAAAGACCAGAGCTGAATAGAAAATTTGACTTTCAAATACAGGACTCAAGTGGAACATGAAGAGGTAAACAGGAAAGAGAAATCATAAGAGACTTATTAAGATTGAACTGTTTACATTCCTGCATGGAAAGATGATATTTATAACTCATGAGACCTTTGTCAGTATCAGGGTAGTTGGAGGAAAAAAATTATATGTATGTATATGTAGATAGATAGAGGGCACAGGGTGAGCTGAAGATTAAGGGGTCATATCTGGAGAATAAAATTAAGGGATGAGAGAGGATTATACTTGGAGAAGAAGAAAGGGAGAGGTAGAATGGGGTAAATTATCTCACAAAAAAAAAACAGAAAAGTCTCTTACAGTGGAAGGGGAAACAGGGGAAGGTGAGAGGGAATGAGTGAATCTTATTCTCATAGGATTTGGCTTAAGGAGGGAATAACATACACATTCAATTGGGTATGGAAATCTGTCTTACCCTACAGGAAAATAGGGGGGAAAGGGGACAAGAGAGCAGGGGGATGATAGAGAGGAGGGCAGATTGGGAAAGGGGTTAATCAGAAGTAAATACTTCTGAGGAGAGACAGGGTCAAAAGAAAGAATAGAATAAATGGGAGGGCAGGATAGGATTAAGGGAAATAGAGTTAGTTTTTCACTACATGTCTACTATGGACGTGTTTTGCATAACTGCACGTATACAACCTATACTGAGTTGCTTGCCTTTTCAATGAGGGTGGGTGGGGAGGGAGGAAGGGAGAAAATTTGAAACCTAAAGTTTTAAAAACATATGTTCTAAAAAAAATGTTTTCACATGCTACTGGGAAATATAGGAAATGGGGTACAGAAGTCTATCCTGCCCTACAGGAAAATAGAAGGGGAAGGGGATAAGAGAAGAGGAGAGATATAGAAGAGAGGATAGAGTAAGGGAAGGGATATTCAGAATGCATGACATCTTGGGGTGGGGGAGGGGGGAGATGGGGTGAAAATTTGGAACTCAAAAACTTGTGGAAGGGAATGTTGAAAACTAAAAATAAATAAATTTATATTAAGATAAAAAAAAGAAAATTAAAAAAATAATAAAAAAATAAAAAAATTACTCAGCATCCCCATGGAAATTTATTTTAATACTTTAAAAAACATTTTTAAAAATTTGCATCATTTAAAAATGTTTTTAAATGACACATCTTAAATTTAATAATTTATTGTAAATTTGTGGATTTTTTCCCATACTGAAACTTTGATGACATAATATTGCATCATGTAACTATTGTGTCATATTGTAAACAAGTCATTACACTCACATATTTCTGCTGATGCATGCTGGATTTCCCAACAACGTCCGAGACACGCTTGCCTACTTGACCAGTGATCAGTTATAACTTGCATTTTGTGTGTTTATTTGGGAAATAATGTAATCACTACAACTTTAACTGTTACACAACAGATGAACCTTGTATGAACGGTTTTTCAAAATTTTCTTCTTTCCTTATGCTTCCACTGCCCTTATATTTATTCAACACTCTCCAATTACATTTGAGGCTACCATCCCCCCCACCCCAGTTGTTCCAGTGTCCCCCAGGGGGGTAGCATAGCCCACTTTGGGAACTTCTGAATTCTAAACCTTAAATTTCTATTTTTTGTTTTATATGTGCATAATTAGTAAACAAGTATTTTGACATATATGACATATTCATGAGTAAATATACCCATATGGGAGGGGGTACTCAAAAATTTTTTATCAATAGGTATGAAAGGTTTTAGAGGAAACTGCTCTCAAAGCCCAACATCAGTAAACCAACACAATGCTACGTTCAGACTACAGAAACTCCTCATTAGCTTTCGGGTTGTTTTGTTTTTTACTGGCTCTGAGTGACTACTGTACTTTCATAAAAACATAATTCAAGCATTGCAGAATGTTCTTCTCCAGGACTTCTCACATTGCTCCAGAACAAGGACTGTTTTGTCCTCAATCTTTTAAAAAAAAAAATTGCCCACAGCTATTGAAGATAAATAGTAGCCTCCTTGACCTGCTAAAAAGTCACAGGGAAGCTCAAAAAATCCACTGTCATCCATAAGGCAAGAGTAAGGCCTGCAGTGAAATCTGAAGCCCCTTTTTCTTACAGGGAGTTTGAATGTCAACTAGGAATTATTTCTCTCTGCTCATCTCCAACCATGAATTAGTACCAGTTCTGAGCTTTGACCCTTTGTCTTCTGGTCTAAGCTCCTTGCTCTCCATGCCTGGTCCTGTTAGATCCAGATTAAGAATCTAATAAAAACCCACATCATATGGTCTGTGGCAAGTGCCTCCCTCCATTCCAGGACACCATCATATTGCCTTGTGTCCTTCCATCCTAAGCACCCTCCTTCGTGCATCTCACCTCACTTGCTTCACTCTCTGCTCTGGTCTTGTACTGCATTTAGCTTGAGGGCATTGTACCTCCATCATGCCATTTCTCTCCTTAGAAGTAAAAGCCTAACAGGAATGTATGTGACTGTTGGTTCAGCAGCTGAACCTGTATCTCCAATTTTTTTTTTTACTTAGGGAATGTATAGAAAGCAAGTGCTGAATCCTGAACTATATGCCCTGATAGCAGAGCTCCTCTCCCCTCTGACACCAGGGCTGAACTGTGTGCCTCGTAGGCGTTTTTCTTTGGTAACATAATTGGTAGACAACAGATGATGTTGCCTCTTCCTCTATAAGACCTTGATATTTCCAACCAGCCCAAGTTTTGTTTTGAACAAGCTAATAATCTTGTCATATTTAGTGCATCTTTGTTATTTTAGAGACATGTCCTCTAAAAGAAAATTAGATTTCTCCGAAAGTCTCATGATGGAAAATGCTATTCACATCCAGAGAAAGAACTATGAAGCTGGAAGGCAGACCAAAGCATACTATTTGCTCTTTTTTTTCTCGTTTTGTTTTGTTTCTTCTTTCTTGTGGTTCCTCCTATTGGTTCTAATTCTTCTTTACAACATAACTAATGTGAAAACATGTTTAATAAGAATGTATATGTAGAGCTTTTATCAGATTGCACACTATCACAAGGAGGGAGGGAGAGAAAATTTAAAATTCAAAAGCTTATGGAAGTGAATGTTGAAAACTAAAAATAAATTTAAAAATAAAAAAATAAAATTGGATATTTTTAAAAACCAACAAATTAAATTATAATTTAAATAGATATATCTCTGGAAAGGCTTAAAAAGAAAAATTGATAACAATTCTGGTGATAAGGTTAATGCTTCTTTACTAGGTCAGATGCCACTCAAAATACTATTTTATTTATTTATTGGCAAAATATTAAAGCAATGCTCACTGTGTTTCCACAGCAAGTCTATCCCTTAATGTTAAAAAAAAAGTACCAATAGTAGAAACTCAAATGATAAGGACATGCCAAATTAGTATAAAAAGAGAAGAAATAAGATGGCTTTGCAGTTTTCCTTTAGTGGCATCTCTTTGTAGTCATAGCCGAGATTAATTTGTCTTCCGTTCTCTTTCTCGGGCAGCCACAAAATTCAGCAGATCAATGGCAGTGACAACACCAAACACCATCTGCCTTTGACTGGAGTTGCCATTGCTGCGATCTAAGGATTTAAAGAAAAGAATAAAGGAAAAAGCAACCTTAGTAGTTTCCTAGAAGGCTCGAGAAGGAACTGAACACCAAACCTTTCTCAGGCAGCTCTTAACCCCAGGGGTGGGTCACCTGTGGCCTCAAGGGCACATGTGGTCCTCTAACCGAATCCAAACGTCACAGAACAAACTGATGTGGATGCAAAGGGCCACATGTGAGGACCTAGAGGGATACATATGGCCTTGAGGCTGCAGCTTCCCTACCCCTGCCATGCCCAGGTATTCAAAGAAACCATAAAAATCCTGTCCAAATTAGGGAACATCTGGGTTGTAAACAACTGCACTTTGGATGACTTTGCCCCAGTATGTTCCAGAGGAGTGAGAGGCAATCTGACGTTTACCTCTAACCTCTCCCAACCCTCAAATAAGGTATTATTTCTAGAATAATGTAATCTTACATGTAAGAGGGATACACAAAGAAATCTGATAGATTATTTTAATCCTGAAATATTAACCACATCTCTGAATAAGTGTTACTCTGGCTAAAAAACATACCAGCCAGCAGTAATGGCCTTTTAAAAAAAAATCTGCTTTCATGTTTCATCATTAGATCTCTGGAATACTGGTTGGTCATAGTATTATACCAGTTTTATGTCGTAACTTATTCAGCCATTCCTCGCCATTCTCCTGTTGACGAGGAGCCCCTCATTCTTTATCACTTGAGACAGCTATAAATCCTTATAGTTTGTTTTGCTTTGGACCAATCTCTCCCTTAATCTATCCACCCTTAAATTCACCCTCCTTGCTTCTCCCCCTTTCCCTGTTGAATGGAATGTATTTCTGTTCCCATTTGTGAATGTATTCTTCCTTCTTTTGACTAACTTGGATACGAATGAGGTTCAAGCGTCAGCCATACTTGTATCTAGATGTTTACTTGTGCATCCAATCCCATTTACCTTCCCTGCTCCTAAACCCCTACCAGGGTGTTTCTCTTTCTCTCTCCTTCCATTCTTTCTTCAACTCATCAAGACAAAATAAGAGAACCACTCCAAGGCCATGTCTAATTAGACTTCATTTATGAACCCTGATGACGACAGTGTTCAGAGGGGACACGTATCATATTTCCCATATTTCAATGTAAGCTATTAAGCCTTGTTTAATCCATCATTGTTCATTCATTTGTACCTTTCTGTGGTTCTCTTTACTCCTCTGTTTGAACTTCAGAATTTCCCCATAGTGCTCATCTTTTCATGGGCAATGCTTAAAACTTTTCTATTTTATTAAAAGTCCATCCCCCCACCCCCACCCTGGCAGCATCATGCTCAGCTCTACTGAGTATGATATTCATTGGCTGTAAACCCCATATCCTTTGTGTTCTGGAATACTGTATTCCAAGTTCTCTTTTATACCGGTGGCTGCTAAATCATATGTGATCCTGGGGCAGCTAGTTGGCACAGTGGATAGAGCATGGGCCCTGGATTCAGGAGGACCTGAGTTCAAAATCCAGCCTCAGACACATAACACTTACTAGCTGTGTGACCCTGGGCAAGTCACTTAACCCCATTGCCTAGCCAAAAAAAAAAAAAAAAAAAAAGGTCAGCTAAATTATATGTGATCCTGACTGCAGTCCTTCAATACTTGAATTCTTTCTTTCTGACTGCTTACAGCATTTTTTCTTTGACCTGGAACCTTTGGATTTGGCTATGATGTTCCTAGGAATCTTCATTTTGAGGTTTCTTTCAGGAGGTGACCATTGGTTTCTTGCCACTTTGCCCTCTGGTTCTAAGAGACGTAGGCAATTGCCTTTTAATAATTCTTGAAACGGGTTGTCTAGATTTTTTTTGGTCATGGTGTTCAGATAGTCTATGATTCTTTATTTTTTTTCTCCTCAATGTGTTTTCCTGGTCAGCTGTTTTTACTAGGAAACATCTTACACTTTCTTCTTTGTTTTCCAGTCTTTTGACTTTGGTTCAATATTTGATGGCTGCTATTTGGTTCATTCTAATTTTCAGGGAGTTTGCTGCTCGGGCAAGATTTTATACCTCTTATGCCAAGCTGTTAGTACCCTTTCCAATTCTTTTTTTCCATAGCTGTCATTTCTTTTCAATTTTTTCAGTTATAAAAACATTAAAACAAATTTTTTAAAAAAAAAATTCCTTGCTTCCTCTCTTCCAGGAATTCTAGTTTACGCCCAAGCTGTATTATTCTGTATTAGCTGTATGTATTCTGAAATTATTCTCCTATTCCACTTTTAGGTTCTGAGCATCCCTGTCACCACAGTAGTTCTTTACAGTAGGATTCTTTTTTTAAATGCTCATTCTTCTAGCCTACTTCCTGACTTTGGACTTAGGGGAAGCTCTACAATACTTCTGTAGGGAAGGTCAGGGTTAGTTAGTTTTATTGCTGCTTTCTTAGGGTATTGAGTGTTGTGTGGTTACAAACAGAGGTATAAACACGATTATTGCTACTACTACTACCTAACATTTATACACAACTTTAAAGTTCAAAAAGCCCTTTATAAACATTAGCTCATTTGAACCTCACCAGTACCTTGTGAAATAAGTACTTTTGAAGTTATTATTCTCATTTTACAGATGAGGAAATGGGTTCAGAGAGGTTAAGTGTACATACCTGAACTCCCTCCCACTATTTCTGACAAGGACTGGTCCTGTGCTGTAGGAGCCAAGTGCATTAGAATCGAAATGTTAGAAAAATGACCATGTCAAAGAAAACTCACTGGCAATCTCCACTACTGGAAAAATAACTCAAAACATTCACCCTACTATTGAAGGTAACAGTAGGTAAGAAACTATAAACAATTCTGAAAAAAAAAATCACCACTTTGGTAAATTAACAACTAATAAATGCCTACATAAGAACATGGAATATTTTTTTGACTATACAGTAAAACAGACATGATATCTCTTTGGTATATGAATACCATACAATAGGCCTTGCAAAATATCTCAATAATAACAACATAATTTTTACGCACACACACACTTTGGGTGGATTGGGGTGACCCGGACTTGTGATTTCATCAATCTGAGGCACTCAGTGAAGAAATTATTCTTCTTTCCAATAGCAGAACAATAAATCATAGGTAACATAGTTTTGGAGAGCTGCCCAGAGGCACTAAGAGATTAAGTGAGATGCTCATGGTCATATAGCTGCATATATGTAGTAGGGCTTGAACTCAGGTCTTCCTGACTCAAAGGCCAGTCTTCTATCCATTACCCCATGTAACCTCACATTTATACAGAATTTTTAAAAAGCTAATAAAGCATGTTTTGTTGTTGTTCGGTCATACAGACATTTCCAACTCTTCATGACCCCATGGACCATACTGTCCGTGGGATTTTTTTGACAAAGATACTGGAGTGGTTTTGCCATTTCCTTTTCCAGTGGATTGAGGCAAACAGAGATTAACAGGGTCACACAGCTAGTAAGTGTCTGAGGTCAGATTTGAACTAAGGTTTTCCTGATTCCAAGCCCAGCACTCCATCCACTGAGCCACTTAGCTGCCTCATTAAAAAAAAAAAACAGTATAAGGTAGGTGGTATAAGTATTATTATCCACATTTTACACATACACGAGAAAGTAAAATCTCAGAAGGGACTTGCCCCAGTTACAAAACTGGTAAATGAGATGGAGTCAGAATTTAAACCCAGGTCTTTTCACTCTTTCAGTACTTTTTGTAGTACATTGTACATCTATGAAGATAAGAAATCACAAAATAAATTTAACATTTGCAAGGGAACCAGTAGCTAAGCAGCATCAGTAATGAACAACTGCTTTGATTCAGATATTTTCCTGGGTTTTCCCTTTAAATGTAAGACTATCCCTTAACCTACATAAGTAATTTTTATAAAGAAGGTTGAAAGATCTGAACACATGACCCCTTTAATGGACTTGGCTCCAACAGCAAAGGACCAGACTCCTGGGAAGGTCAGCCTCACAGGTGGACAGCATAGTTTGGAAGGTACAACAAGATCTCCCAAACCTGAAAACAGCATCCTACAGCCCTCGTAAGACCTTCCCTGCTATCTGGATCAAAATTCCCACTATCACACACACTCTCACAGCCTCCACCTTTGGCTGCCTACCACCCTCCTCTGCCTTCTCTATTACTTTCCTTCCTTCTCAAAACTGGAAAGGGAACTCAGAGACCCTTTAATTCAATTAGTAGAGGTGGGGGCTACTGTTAGTGTGCCCTTTTTATTGTGGCGAATAAAAAGAGGGAGAGAGAAAGAAACTGGAAAAGGGAGGCATGTCTCCTCTAGCCTTTTCCCATAAGCATTGGGGGGGGGCGGGGGGAATATGAATTGATTGCAGGTTTGGAAAGCACTGAGAACCCAGCCTGAAGAAATGAGACAGAGAGCACAGATCTGGGGGAAAGTCATACATGAGCTCACAATTGTGCAGAAAGTCAGTGTTGAGCTATGCACAACCAAGCCTGCAAGCTCGGGATGGACACGCGAGTGAAGGGCTTGGTGGGTGCCATGTCTATGCCAATGAAAAGCTTCTTAGGGCAGGTACCTAGAAAAGAGCTATGTAGTTTCTGACATTCCTTTCAGTGAAGGGAAATGGCAGCCTAGGGAAGGGGAAGAGGGAAAGAAAAGGGAAGGGAATAAGCATTTATATAGCACTCACTATAAGTCAGGCACTTGGCTAAGTGCTTTACAAATATTATCTCATTTGATCCTTACCATCACCCTGCCAGGTAAGTGCTGTTACCGTCCCTATTTTATGATTGAAGAAACTAAGTCAAACAAAGGTTATGTGACTTGCCTAGGGTTACAGATAGGAAGTGTCTGAAGCTAGATTTGAACTCAGATCTTCGTGATTCCACTGTGCCAGAAAGTGCAAATTTTCGCGTACATGTACCTAGAACCTGCTCCCATGTCTCTTAATGCTAAACAATGAGGGGCAAGGGTATTAAGGAGAGAGAGAGAGACTGGTTTTAAATTACTTCTTTCCAGAAGAATTTCAAGTTAGAACAATGTAATAATAAAACAATACTTTAAAAACAAGCCAAAAAGGCAACCTCCACAATCCGTGGATTTTGGCCTTGTACCTTATCTCAGGCTCCCAGGATTTCTACAGAGGGAATAACAAAGTAAACTTACACTGAATCTGTTCATGAACCACTAGAGCAAAATGGTCAGTCTCTAAGATGTGGGAGAGCATCCCCAAGGTGTCTGTCAGATGAATCTGCAAAATAAAGAATATGTATGTTTATGCATCCTCTTGGCTCCCCTGGAGAGCCCAAAGTAAAATGGCTGAACTGTAAATGGCTACTTTTTTCCTCAACAACACCCCCCCTCCCAGGTGCATGGCCAGTGGTGAATTTATCAGTGGATATGGACAAGGATAGGGAGGGATGAGTCATAATCTAAATTGAAAGAACTATCTACATTAATGGGATCCATTTTGTACCTTAATAAAATTAGATACTGGTGAAAAACAAAACTCAAAATAAAGCTTGTCTGAAGATCAAAAGCTAAAATGAGTAAATTTAACATTATGGTCTTTTAAAAATAACCAAAGAAATCTTCCTAGCATTGAACTGAACCAAGAGCTTAAAAGATATCAGAAAAGGGAAACATAAAAGGAAATAAGTCATTTTCTCACAAGTAAACGTGTGTATATTTTGCACACGCTACAAATGATTTATACATCTGGGAGATCAGAGACTTACTCTACAGAGAAAACTGTCTTAACCAACCAATGAATATTTGTTACGTTAATTATGAATTGATTGGGAAGGAAAATAATAGTTACAGCATAGTATGAATTCTTCCTAAATAACTCAATAACGTTACAGGCATAAAGATAATTAATTTGCAAGAACTATGCTAATTAGGAAAACCAAAAGTCCTTGACTTTGTTAGTGACCATCAAGGTGAGGTTTCTTTGCACAAATATTTGTTAAGCTAGACAAAGTTTCAACAGTGCTTTCAATTTTGCAATCAAGCATTCAGCAAACCATTGGTCAGTTATTAAATGAGAATTTAAAATAAAACAGCAAAGTGAACAAATACGAATAACCCATCCCAAGGACTTTAACTATTAAAGGGTAGAAACTACTTAAGAATAAGTTTTCCTCAGAACTAGAATAATAGGAAAATTAATGTTTACTTAAAATCAATCAATCCTTTCTTCTTGCCCACAGAGCCTTTTTGAAGACTCAACACATTCCATAAGAAATCTGTTTTTAGAGATAGTTTTGGCATGATGGAAGGAATTCTAAAGTCTTACCAGAAGGAGGAGCCCAAGTTTGGAACATTTTTTCCTTACCATTTCATTGTGATTTCATTAATTTACAAATCCTCTGGTGAGGAAATTCCAGTGCAGGTCAGCCACTGTTCTGCAGCTAATAACTTGTACCCAGGGTCACACAATATGAGTTGGGCTTGAGCCAAGCTCTTATTGACTCTTTATCCACAATCTCAAGTTAAGATGTGATCCCACCCATACTCTCCCCAGGGGAAGGGGGGGGGGAGAGAGGCTATCTGATCTATGATAGAGCAGTAGATTTTAAGTATACAGGCAGAGGAATGGCAAAGCACCTGGCTAATGGTATGAACACACTGGTGAGAATACATGTAGCGTTCAGTAGCACATCACTGGATAGCAGACTCATTGAAGATCAGTGTCTGTGGGTGGATATCAAGTTCCCAGTGCCTTTCTATGGAAGCAACTGATTACTATGGAGTCCCACTGACTAGATACAGAAAAACTGGAGCAGTCTGGTTGCTGAGAACAGAGGACGACAACTGGGACAATCTCCTTCTCCCCTCTCTCCCACTTCCTGTAGAGTAATTCCAAAGCTTACCTGTGCTTCTTTAAAATTTTTTAAAAATAATGCCATATACTGAATCTGACAAAGTGGTATTAAGATATAAAACTGTTAGCCCAAGGCATCAGTGTTTTATACACATTTTATTTGCTTAAGAAAAAGTTGGGGGGGGGGGCTCAAAATGAACCAGAGATTTTACTGATATAATTAAGTCTGAAGTAACGTTTCAGACCATTTATGGCAGTGAAAGAACTGATTCTGCAGGACAAGGTGGGGGGGACCCCTTTTTTTGTCCAGAGCACACATTCTCTCTCTCTCCCCAATAAGGACAACCAAGAAGTAATAACATAAATAGAAACAAGTTTCCATAACCATAATTCCAACCTTATATTCAGCAAAGGACAAAGAATTTATGCTGTCATTAGTAGGTCTCCTTTGAGCCAGAAAAAGGTGTTAATTTGCAGTGAAGAAACAATATAAAAGAGAAATGATACTCATATATGCTAGGAATCTTGGTATAGAGGAAAGAAGAAGGAATGAATTCAATTTCTATTCCTGGCTCTGATACTAACAAGCTGTGTTTAACAATAGTCCTCACAGAACCAAGTAAGGAAATGTTATGTGAAAGTGCTATGTAAATCTCAGCAATACTAACCACAAATATTTAGGTGCCGATTACATTCCAAAGGTAGTAGGTGAGGGAGAGAAGAAGAACTATTATAACAAGATATGGAAGAAAAAACAAACCCTTCATAATCATGAATATGAATAGGATGGACTCAATCATAAAATACAGAAGGGTAGAACAATGGAGAAGGGAAGTAGAATAGATTACAAAACAAAACCCAATAATTTGTTGTTTCTAACAACTATAAAGACTAAACAGTAAAATAATAATTTCAGATGGCTTAAATGTGCCCTCTCTCAGACTTGGATAAATTTAACAACAACAACAAAATAAGACAGAAGTTAAGTATCTTAATACAATGTTAGAAAATTTAGGTATGATAGACCTATGACTATTACAGAAGAGTAATCCTAAGGAATACATCTATTTTCAGCACACAGAGGTACAAAATACCTATATAAAAACTAACCATAAAAAAAAACCTAACCATATGCTAGAGAGCATAAAAAGCATGTACTAAAGAACATAAGACAAATACCAAAAAGCAGAATAAGTAAACACATTCTAAGAAATACTATGTAAACTGTAAAATGCTATCTATACAAATGTAAGGTTCTGAAATGGTCTAGGTGAGCACAAATTCTCCCTTTTAGCCAATGTGGCTACAAAGACTATGAATTTGAGTGGATGTGGCAGGTTCAAGGTGGGAGGTGTTGGTGAGAAAGTGTTTCCTCCTTTGTTCATCAGATTATAGCCAAGTCTAAAAAAAAAAAGGCATTGCTGCATTGAAAGGTATTTTGCTTCAACATACTCAAGACTATACAGAATTTTCTCTTCAAATCTCCCACTACTTTCCAATTAAAAACTAAATAAGAGGGCTGAACAAGTAAGGAAACACAATAAGAGCTCTCTTCTTGCCAGCACATTAGCCATATCCTGCATAAATCCAAACCTGGCTAAGAAAATGCTGTTCGGTTTGATAATGATTCATAAATATACCAACCAGCCTTCACCAAAGAATTTAAAAATGTAGCTCAAACTTCACAACTTTGAGTTTTTCCCATCTGTTTTCTCTCTCCTGTCTTGAGGGCTGGGACTGTTTTATTTATCTCACTATCCTTCACACCCAATACAATATCTTACACAAAGTGGGCACTGGAATTTAATTGAATCTATAAGAAATTACTCTGAAGAGAATGCAAATTGAATTCTTGAATGCCCCCATTACTGTCCTGCTACTGAAATCACCAGTCTTTAAAGGCTGAGTTCAAGTACCTTGTCAGAGTAGCATTTATTTCTCTCTCCAGTCAAGAATGATCATTCCTTCCTTCTGCAGACCCTGAACAGAACTTACCATGTTCCCACATTATGCCATTACCTTAGAACAGTGCCTGACACATAGTAGGTGCTCAATAAATTTTTGTTCCCTTCCTTCCCCCACATATCATTAGTATAACCATTTGAACCTATCTTTACCCCTCATTCTCTTAATAGACTGTGAACTCCATGAGGACCACTACTATGATTTATTTAATCTTTACATTGTTCTCTGTGCATAGCATAGTGTTCACTGCAGGTGCTTTATAAATGTTTTGTTTAGCTGAATTCCCACTGTTAAAATGTAGATAATATGCCTCTCACTATGAAAGGTCATCAGTGAGTGAGCAGTTCTCTCTAGAAAGGGTTCCTAGTTTTTCAGAGTACCTTCTGACAGAAAAAAAGGCCCATATAACATCAAGTATAGGATGGTGTGTCTGGTTGTACATGCTAGGTGAGTAAACCACATTTTTACCTGACGAAACTGCTTATAGATGACTTTGCTGACTTGGTCTGAAGGCTGAACCTTTCCGGCAAGCAAGGATGAAAGCATATTACCAAGAGTGACCATTCCCAATATCAAACTGTAGGGATATAGAGAACACAGAGATATATATCTAAAATAGAGGAATGTGAATCTTCTTTCTCAAGTCAAACAATATCAACAGAATGCTCAAAAGGCTACCTACCATCTACCATAAAAGTCAGAAATGGTTTTGTCCTTTGGGGTCATTATGTTTCCTGCTTTATTTAAAAAAAAATAAAGAAAAAAGGAACAAGGATATCTCATTTCTTTACTGATCAGTTTTGATCTTAAAACTTTTCATGTGACAAACAAGACCTAAATCAGTGTCATTACTCATTAAGTGATCAGAACTTTCAGATAATTATATAATAATACATAATTGAGGAGTTGGTGGGTACTTTGCAAAACATATAAGAGTCTATGGTATGGACAAACTTATTTTGTATGACATTCCAGCCAACAGTAAACAAGAACCAAGATTCCAACGCGCCACCTTAGCAACAGAGGCTGCCACAGATTTATTCCAGGTCGCACAGCAAGCTGACAGGCTAGCAAGCATCAGTACAAATGGGCTTTAAGCTCCAGTCAATTAGTTAACACAGTGATTTTGCCAATCAACAAGCACTCAGTGAATAATCCTTTTTAATTTCATCCTCATTAATTTTACATACCACTTATACACAACTGGTACAATTTGAATCTGGATTTCCCTCTTTAATTTAAATTGGCTCTCTAGGACAAGGTCTCCCCTGGTACTTAGTAAACTAGGCTCCTGTGTGAAAAGTAATGCAAGACTTGTCGATTAATCTGAACTGCTAGATTCTTAAGTCCCAACTAGGCAAGGATTGTTTGTTTATTATTTTTATATCTCTCCCAGCACCTAGGACAGTGGTTTGCCTACAATGGGCACATAATAGGCAGCTGCTAACTACATGAATGAACTGTCCACATGTTCCTCAGTTTTGCCACAAGGCTGAGTGAACTAAAGGAAGCCCCTACATTTGAGTGGATCCTCTGTGATGAATTTATGGGCAAACACACTAGAGCTGGACAGGATGCACTCGTATCTACATCTCTGGAGAGAATACCTACAAAATGAAATCACAAATCTGCTGGAGTATTAGAGGACTGGATGATATGGAAAGACTTATTCTCAGTCACCAATACTGTCTCATTTCAATGAAATCTATAGAAGGGAAAATCAAATGCAGACCATTTTATACTCTGCAGGATTACACATAAGAAAAAGTCATACAAAATTAAAGGTCTGGACTTACCCAGATTCATCCACAACTGGTACCTGGTCGAAACCCTTCTCTCGAAGGATTTCAATAGTTCGTTCACAGGTGACAGTTGGCAAGACAGTCAAAGGTGCAGAGAGGCTTAATTCTTGGATCCTGAGGTGCCACCACCTGGAAAAAAATGGAAAAGAAATGTGTACATTTGTGGAATTAAAGAGAATGGGAAAACCATAGCCAAGACCCCAGAAATATTTTCACTAAAAAGAATTACATAAATGAGAAAATATGCATTGATTACTCCACTTGGCTGCTTATCACACCATATCTCATTAAGGCATTATGTCTCATTCTTTCAACATTTTTAGCTCCAGGAGATGAATTCCTTCCTCAAATGCCTCTGTGTTCTCTTTCACTGTACCAGTCAGACTAGGTAGAATGCCAATTCTCTTGAGTTGCCAAAATACTGGCATTTGGAAATCTGGAAAATGTTTTCTTACCATGGTTTAGCAATCGTGATATCTTCTTCCTTCATAAATCCCTTCTGAAGCATCCATTTGTCACTCAGAAATTTCGACCTATAAATCATCAGAGAACCAAAGTTACCTATTTCCAGAGTAACTGTTTCCTATGGGCTGTGTCTCAGTGGAATACTTGGAATTGACTCAATGTCTGAAATCCTAAAGTATAGTTTGAAGGGAGAGTGAATTGATGAAGGTTGGAATGTTTGAGATGTACTCTCTTAGAACACAGAATTAACTGAATAAGGTTGGGAAAAGCCAAGATTTTAGCATGGTATTAGGAGGAAAGTCCTCTTTCTCCTCTTCCTGGATGTTCTGCTCCTCTCTCCTCCTGCTCTAGAACAAACCCATGGAACCTCAGGATGGCTATCTGCTGGCCATAAACTGACCTTAAAAACTGCCAACAAAGCAGTTGAGATTACTGGGTTCCAGCAGATGCGGCTGGCCATCTTGAAGACTTCTCAAAGACCTCTACTGGTGGTAGCGCCTACAGTGGTTCTTGAGACACCAATTCAATTAGTTTCTAGGTGGGATTTCAACTCTCAATTTGTATCCTGAGTTCTGTGTGATTCAGGTCCTTGATACTCATCACTGTATTAGCTGCTTCAGAATACATACAACTCATGCCTGGAGCTTTCCTGGGATGCAGAGTGGGAAAAAATACTGCTGCCATCAGTAGATGTATTCAAAGCATGCAGAAAGCATGGTTACTAATATGGCATTATAAGGACATCCAATTTCCCTACGACATCTCTATCCAAGGGTATTATGAACATAGACCCCCAAGGATCAGAATCAATATCTCTCATAGGAAGGGCAGACCACCCATCAGTGATATGGTACCAGTGTAATGTAATGCATTGTCAATACACACCACACACACACACACGGTTGAAGGAAGGAGGAAAACAAAAAAGGGGAACCTTCTTACATGTAATTCCTCACAGAATCAGGCAAAATGACCACACAGCGCTCACCCTCCTTCAGCTCCTTGGCAGCCTTTACTGCAACGGAGATCGTGCTGCCAGAGCTACCACCTGTCACAAAGAACCAAGTAATTAAATATCACTTATTGTTATAGCTCACATAATTATGACTAACTGATCTAGTGTGCAGTATACTGGTTGCATTAAGGATTCATAATCTCAGACCTATGGATTATAGATGGATTTGGACATAATAAATCACTTTTTTTTAAAATATTCCTTGACATAAGCTAGTATTTTCTAATCCAATGCTGGCATACTGAGTGTAGCACTCTTAACAGTATCATCTTTTAAGGAGCACAGCTGGAATTCCATCACTTCCACCAGCCTTATTATTAGCAATACTTCCTAGGGTGTACTTGACTTCATTCTCCAGGATGGCTGGGTCTAGATCAGTAACTACACTATCACGGTTATCAAATGACGTTAAGCTCTTTCTTGCATAGTTCTTTTGTATGTTCTTGTCACCTCTTCTTAATCTCTTCTGTTTCTGTTAAATCCCTACCATTTTTGTCCTTTCAAGCACCCTCCCGCATTGTAGTACACTCTCACAGAGAGACACTGATTCATCTGTCACCCTTCTATTATTTCCTGCCTTGTGTGTTGTTTTTTGTCTTTTCCTGTTTTTCTGGGAGACCTATGAGCCTTAGATTGTCTAGGCAGCCTGTCTTCAAGATCACTAGGTTTTGTTTGCATAGTGAGGGTATGTTAAAAAATAATCTACTGTTCCTTCTTTTGTTGCTTAGATGAAACTTGCCATGCATGGTGTATTCCGGTTTTTCTATTCTAGTAGTTATTTTTGGTGTGCAGGCCATAAATTCTTTTCTCATTCTCATTTCTCTTTTGAAGCACTCAGGAATACTGTTATGGCTCCATGTTATCCTCACATTTCAGAGTCCTCTCTCTCAAGGGTTGGATCATTTTCCTTTGTTTTGCAATATTTATTCACAGATACCTGAACTCATATACTAGATCAGGAGGCCATATTTCCTTCTTTTGTTAATATTTTCCCTGCTGACTTATCTGTTCATGTTCAAGGTCTTTGAGTTTTCTTCTTCCTGAGATTGTTGGTAATTTTAGCCTTTCCCCACCTACTGATTTTCCCCAATTTACTTTCTAACTTTGTCCCCTCTGATGGTGGTGGTGGGGTGGATCACAAAGCATCTCAGGCTCCTCCAGTGCTGGGTTAAACAGCCTGGGTCTCTGTCCAAAGTGATTGTTTGGTGGTCAGAACTGGCTCTAGCTGAATGCTGTGCTCTCTTCCTCAGGCTTAGTGGAGTGCTGCACAGCCATACCGCCACAGCCACCCACATACGGTGTCCAGTCCTGGTCCTTTATGGTCCTGCTCCCTTTGTTCCTCAGTCCTCTGCCCCACTGATGCTAAAGAGTTGTCTGTTCCAGCATTAGACATGCAAAGCCTTGCATCCCTGGTACTATGGGGTTGCAGCCCCTAGCAAGCTTTTGCTCCTGAAGTGCTGCCGTCCATCATTCGCAATCTATCCCTGCCTGAGCAAACTTCCACAGCTTAGAGCTGGGGTCTTCATGGCACTGGAAAGAAAGAGGGGGTACTGGAGTGTAAGACTGAATTTCCTTCCAAGTCTAAACCAATATATCCTCTATCCTTGGGTCTACTATGCAGCCTCAATACTGGTAGAGGGATAAGTAGGGAGGGGTGCTGAGGGAGCTTATGGTCAGTGAATGTCAGTTCATGGGTTTTGGTTTGTTTTTTTTTTAAACTTCTTTTTAGTTTCTGAATGTCCTAGACTACAGAGACAGCTGAACTTGCTTCATCTTTGGTGCATAATTTCTGTTTCAGAGAGGTCTGAGAGGTTGTGGGAATTAGAAAAAAATCTCTATCTTGTTGCTCACATGACCCAGAATGATACAGTTTTAAAAAATTCTTTTCAGGCATTATCTCAACGGTATTTCAATCCTGTGAAAGAAATACATGGACAGATACTATCCTCATTGTACAGATGGGAATACTGAGGGTCAAAAACATTAAGTGATTTAGCTAGGGTCAGAGGTGGGATATAAACCCAGATCTTCATGCCTCTTAGTCCAGCTCTCCATCTACGATTTTAGAGTGAAAATGGGAGTCTTTTGTTCTTAACTTTAGAGATCTAATCTAACCCTCGGATTTTATCGATGAAGGAAATGAAGTTAAATTTTGCCCAATGATCCTAGGTTTGACTTGGCCTAGTTCATTTGCTTTCTTGTCCTATGATCTTCCCAGAACACGATACTGCCTTTAATCTTACCCAATTCGTGAAGTGAACACAAATAGAAGTATGTGAATTTATGATTAAGGTTGATAAATTACATGTGACCTATGTGGCAACATCTTTGTGGGCCATAAGGAGGACATTATCTCCTTGGACATCACACCATTCTGTAAAATGAGATGCAACTCTACCTGCTTTACAGGACACAAAGTTAAGAGGGATTGTTTTTTTTTTCCCATTAAAGAATGTCTATGTTTCAAAACACAAGGCAGGAATTATAACAACTTCTATAACAAATTTTGGAAATGTATGACTATTAAAAAAATAAATAGTATTCTTCCCCCACAGTCCTATTTCTTTTCTGTCCCGTTCACAGCACATCACTCATAGTAGGATTAGTAATCTATTCACTCACTTACCACAGAGTAATCCTTCTTGGGCAATTAACATTCGAGCAAAAGCAAAGGACTCCTCATCACTGCTCTTGTACCATTTATCCACCATCTACAACCAGGTAAAAAAAGAAATGAAGTCCTATATTACAGTTTCGTAGAGATGCACTGTCTGTGTTTTAGGTGGGGTGGGAGTAGTGGGGGAATGGGATAGGATTGTTAATAGTAACGTCACATTTGAAGTTTCACAGAACACTTTACATACATTGCCTCACTTACATACATTTTCTCACAGAGAGATGTGGCTAGATGGCTTAAATTGGCTAGAACTCTAGTTGTATAGTTATTTGCCACTTAGCCATTAACTTCCTCTGATTGGACAAGTTCCTCCTCTGTTCTCTGGTTCAGGTTTGAAAACAATCCTACTAGTCCTTTCATCCCAAGGAGACTTTTGGGCGTAACTCTAGCCCCTCAAGTCCAAAATGTTTCCCACACTACCCCTGAAATCATCTGTATTGCTTTGACCAGATGTTATTATTCTCTCCAAAGGCTCCCTCACTACAGCCCTCCTGAATAAGGTTGATCTCTACCTTTTCTAGCAACTGGACCTACCCATACCATCTATTCTTGTCTCTTGCCAAAGTTCAGCTCCTGCTGCCATTTGCAGAGCATTTTCTCTACCCTCCAAACCTGCCCAATTCCTTCTTTCCCCTTACTTATACCACAACTGTCCTTTATAAGGGAACAAAGTTCAGGCTAGAAAGCAGGTGTCCTAGACCCTAATTCAATCTGATCATTGTCAAGTTCTTACTTAGTCTTTAGGCCCAGAGCTGGGACTAGGTTGTAAACACTACACTGGTATCCAGGGATACAGTTCTAGAGAATGAACTCCTCTACTCCTAGGAGATAATGGGAGAAAAGTAAACATTAACATCTACCCTCCAAAACCAAACCCTGTCACATTAAGACTTGACCACACATCCATAACTCTTATGAATACTGGTGGAGAGGACACAAAAGGGTACAGAAAAGTATCAAAATGAGAAGAAAATGACAGAGAAAGGTACATCAGTGGCTTATGGTGACTTCTTATACTCCTATTGTTTCCCTATCCATCTGTATACACTTTTGGCTTCCTGCTCTTTTACAACAGTTGTTGCTGAAGACTTTTTCAAGAGACCCCCGAGAATCCACCTAACCTCTCCAAATGGATCTCCCCATCAAATCTCACCAAATCTACAATTCAGCTTACCTTCCTGTCTAGTACTGTGGGGATGAAATCATACCCAATGCCCTCGACTTCATAGGCTGTTCTGTCAGTCTGGTTCAGTTCTTCTGGCTCAGCAAGGATAGATCCTTCTGGATCAACACCAATGATCTGAAGAGATTTTCCAAAATAAGTTTCAAGATTGATGTCTTTTTAGGTTCCCACATAAATATACAAAAAATAGTCATCAGAAGCACTATCAAAAGCATTAATAAGTGCCTACTTGAGTTTGATGTCAGTTTACTTCATAGGAATGAGATTTGCCTTTAATTAGTTTATGGTCTCAGATTCACAATTCTCATACCAATGGACTGAGGAAGGCTACCCATGTACATTAAGTGCAGAAATACTGCCAGGTCCTGTATCAGAATTCTCCAATAAAAACAAATCCCCCCAAAAGCCCTCCGTTTTAGCAGTACACCTGGGCTTTGACAATGTATTACAGTGAGTTGAATCTGATATTCACCTGTGTTAGCATTTGATCTACAAACCTTAAATATTTCTAGTAAATTTTCTTGCATGGTACTCTAGTTTCTTCACATTTTCTAGGTAGCCTTGATTACTTTTATGGTAACCTAGGTAGTTCTTAAAATGTGTTTTGTTGTATCTGCCACTGCATATGCCATTCCATCCTGAAGCAAGATGACACTATTTCTCAGTGAACCAACTGTTTAATTTCTGTTTTTCCATGAATATTTCAAAGTTGTTGAGTCTCATGATTACCGTATCCTGTTCCTTCTTTGCTAATTTCTTAATTTAGAGTTTATTAGTCACATGGATGTCTTATTTTTTGATGTTCGTGGTTTTTTTTTATTCTCAGCTTTGCTTCAGCCTTACTAACATTTTATATTTGAGAGGGCTATTCAGTATCAGATTTCTCTTGTGATCTCTTATTCTACCATTTTCCTGGAAGTCTCTCCATCCATCAGAGACATAACTAGCAATTCTGATACCCATGGAAAATACCACAAACCTAGGGCAAAAAATATGAAAGGTATCCTCCAATGAACTTCTTAAGAAAAATTCAATTCAGCTGAGCAGGCAGGCAGGGTATGTGTGTATATAGGGGTAGTGGTAGGGGAGAAATCTCACTTGGGAGATAAAGGGAGAAGAAACAGGGATGAGTTATTTGATGGCTTACTATTTTAACTATTCTTGCTAATAAGGTGCTAAACTTAGTTTTTTCAACCTGCTAAAGGAAAACATAACTTATTGTCTTCTAAATTTTGATGTACCAAGACAAAGCTCTATGGGATACATTCTTCAAAGTTTTTCCACCTACATCTCTATATATCCTTCGATCAGGCAAATAAAATCTAAAACTCTTGGGAAGACTGACAACTGGACTCATGACATCTGACATATACAATTCAGAGTTACATAGCAGAAAGGAATTTCCCTATAAGGCTCATATTAACGCCGTCCTTCAGGAATAGTTATTGAAATGTTTAGGTTCCGGGGAAGCTAGGGTGGCGCAGTGGATAGAGCACCGGCCCTGAAGTAATGAGGATATGAGTTCAAATCCGGCCTCAGACACATAACACTTACTAGCTGTATGACTCTGGGCAAGTCACTTAACCCTAATTGCCCCACCAAAAAGAAAAAAGAAAAAAAAAAGAAATGTTTAGGTTCTCACAGAACTTACTTTGCATCCTGGGCATTTCTCCTTCAGCTTCCTGGCAATACCTGTAATTGTGCCCCCTGTGCCAGCAGAAGCTACCAACATATCTAATTTCCCTGTTGTTGTGGAAGAAGTTAGAAGAGCACATTAACATCATCTTTTGACCACATCGCCATTCAAATGTTGTTGAACTGCAGTATAATTCACCCAAACTGAGGCAAATAACCAAAGACATATATATACATATATATATACATATATGTATATATATACATATATATACATATATATGTGTATATATGTATATATATACATATATACACATATATATGTGTATATATGTATATATACGTATATATATGTATATATATGTATATACGTATATACATATATATACATTTATATGTATATATGTGTATATATATATATATATATATATATATATATATATATATATATATATATATATATATATATATATATATATATATATATATATATGAAACTGAGACAAAAGGAGTTCTTTATTCTTTCTAATCCTACACAAGGAAATTCTTATTAGTGGCCAGAAAAAAATCAGATGGTTTTCCATCAATTATTAAAAAAGGATAATGATGTCTACCAGATCTCATTTCCCCTTACTTCATTAGCTTCATAAGAACTCCTACTCTTGGAGACAGGTCTGAGCATGGATTAAGGAAAGGTGTGTGGGTACCTGGATCAAAACTCAGGGTTTGGGGGCCAAATCAAAGCAAACCAAAAAAGAATCCAATAATGAGGTAACTAACTTAATGTTGCTTGGCTCTGAGGCAGAAAACAGGGTTTAAGTGCTGCTTAATGTCAGTGCCAGAGCTGGAATGACAGGAGAGACCTCATTACCCTCTTGGCACACTACAGTCTACTGGGAGGCACTGGATACATTCCTTCTCCCTAAGGGAGATTTTATCAAGTAGATCAAACAAACAAAAATATTCCCACAAACACATACTTTGCCCTGACCTCTATGAAAATACCCAACGAAGCATTATGAATTTTTTTAAAATTGGCTTAACCTCTTATGAGGTAAATAGGGAAGAATAAATGGCACCTAGCAAATCAGTAGCAATCACGCATAACTCCTGGGACAAGACATACATACCATCACACTGCTGCAAGATCTCTTCAGCTGTGCTGTCATAGTGAGCGAGTGGATTACTGGCATTTCGGTACTGTATGGGAAAATGAATGAAGGGAGCAACAGAATTGTAAGACAAGTTGAAGGAAAATAACATTCACCCTACAAAGTGCTCTTGCAAAATGCTCATCGCCTCAAAGAATGGGAAAGTTGACTTTTTTTACTTCATCTAATGCAATGCTCTCAGCTTACAATGATGAAACTGAGGTCCAGAGGGGTTAAATGATTTGCCCAAAGGTCACCCAGAAAGTTAGAAATATAGTCAGCATTATGAAAATCTCTAGAAAACATTTATCCTCATGTCCTGGAACCACTTACATTCCCCTGATGTTTATGTATAATAGTTCACATTTCTAAAGTATACAAAGTTCCCAACAATAACACTATGAGGGAGGTAGTATGGATATTACTTTTCCCATTTCACGGATGCAGATGGAGAACCAAGAAATTAAGTGACTCACCCAACCACACAGTTAATATGTGTCAGAGCCTGGATCCTTATATTATAACATAGCTGCCTGACAATTAGGTCAAGCGCTTCCTAAAAATCTCTTTCCTTAGGCACAACTTCAAAGGGGAAAACAAGTGGCTATGGAATGGTTTAACGTGAAGAGCCTATGTAAGAAGACTATCCCACGTCCTTTACACAACGTTCATTTCAGTCTAAACAAACAGCAATAAAGTGTAAAAATGCTGACAGATTAACATTTACTTGATTTACTTAATGCAGAACACAAATAAAAACTACACCAATCCTCCCAAGCCCAATGGAACCGGAAAAAATATGAGAGCCAGACAGAAAGCAATTACCAATTAATTATTCTGAGTCTACTCTATAGGCCTAATACTACTGTGCTTGCAAATACTGAAGACCAACTCCTGAAGAAAAGTCTAAGGGACCTACGAGATATTCATGCTTCCCTTCCATGCCTTATACCAAGAACCCAACAGGGAAAAACCTTCCTTATCTTAGGGATTAATGTGACCGCAAAATCAAAAATATATAAGACAAGGCCCACTAGCATAGTCTTTGTTCACTCCAGGTGTACAGCCAGACCTTACCTGGTCCAAAATGTGAGAATTGGGAATTTCATTTTTCAGTCGCCATGCCACCCCTACATGAGACTCAGGGGAATCAAACCTGGCATTTGTTGGAGTTCTCACAATTTCAGCTCCTAGTGCTCTCAGGACATCCACCTGAATGAAGAGTACACTGACATTCAGAGTAGTCTGGGTCAAGAAGAGATAATATTCTATCCAAAAAAGGGTGTTGGAACTGTTTGGATGAGTACTGTTTAAAATTAGGAAGCAGAGCTTTAACAATGATTTATTCACTCTTGCCTGAGCAATCAGTCTGAGTGAATTTGGGCAAACCTACCTTTTCCATACTCATTTTCTCTGGCATCACAATGATGCAACGATACCCTTTTACTGCTGCAGCCAGAGCCAGGCCAATTCCTATAAGATAAACACACAACAAGGATGCCCATCAATTGGGGAATGGCTGAGCAAGTTGTGGGATATGAATGTAATGGAATACTATTGTGCTATAAGAAATGATGAACAGGCTGACTTCAGAAAAACCTGGAAAGACTTGTATGGTCTGATGCTGAGTGAAGTGAGCAGAACCAAGAGAACGTTGTACACAATAACAGCCACGTTGTGAGATGACTAATATTGATAAACTTAACCCTCCCCAGCAATACAGGGACTTAAGACATCTCCAGAGGTCTCGTGACGGAAAATGCTATCCCTATCCAAAAAAAAACTATGGAAGTTGAACTGCTATTTTTTTTTCTCTTCGGTTGAGTTTTGTTTCCTCTTTCTGATAGTTCCTCCTATTGGTTTTAATTTTTACTTACAACACCACTAATGTGAAAATATGTTTAATAGGAATGTAAATGTATGGCCTATATCAGATTGTGCGCTGTCTTGGGGAGGGTGATAGGAAGGGGGAGAAAAATTTTAAACTCAAAAGCATATGGAAGTGATTGTTGATAAATCAAAATAAATAATTAAAAAAGGTAAACACACAAAAAAAGTTGTTTAAAGTAGACTGTGCAACCATCCTTTAGGAATGACACAGCACTGAGAGGGTCATATAAGCTACTGAAAAGAATATACTATCTCTGTGGAATTTAAAGTCCTTCCAAGAACACGTCCAAAAAGCACATAATGGAAATACCTCAATGGACAGAAATTTTTTGGAATTTCAAAATATATATAATTTGACCCCCTAGTCCCAGGAGACGTAGATTAAAAACATTAATAATAATAATAATAAAACATTAATGGATTTACCAGAATAGACAACCAATTGAGTAGAGAGCACAGAAAGCCTAAGTCCAATTTGATAAGTATTTGTTACACATCTAATTTCAGTCACTATACGAGGACAGAAATATAAGATATAATCTGACTTTCAAAGAGCTAAGGATTTAGGTAGAGAGAATTGGGAAGTAAGACCAAAGCAATATACAATCAAGTGTATGATAATGTGATACACTAATGATATGAATACGAGCTAAGTAAATGTCAAGTAAAAAGATCACAATAAGGTTGGTCTTGCCAGGGAAGAAGTCTTGAAGCCTTGAAGGAAACAGAAGAATTGAATCAGAATCAATGAAGATGGGGGAAAGTACACAAAGCTTGCCGTCTCTACTTTCCCACTGACTGGGAGCTAAACTCCTACTGGAAGCAAAGAAAAAAAAACCCCACAACTTTTCATTTTTGTAAACGTAACTAAGCAATGCTGAACAGACTCTGATCGAGGTCAATAACAATCATGACTTCAAAAGACTAATAGTGAAGCATGCCTTCACTTGGCAGATGGTGTGGAATGCAGCATACGCTGTCATAAAATGTGTGGATTGTTGTTTAAATGTGTTTTGTTGTTATTGTTTCAATGGAAGGTTCTACGGTAGTGGGGAGTAGGGAGGAGGGAGGGGAGTTGGGGTGGGGGGAAGTAGGGAGGGCTAGGGAAGAAGGAAGGAAGGTTCCAGTGTTGATAAAACTGACCAGTATTTCCAGAAGTTGGCTCAATGATTGTATCTCCAGGTTTCAAAACGCCTGCTCTTTCAGCATCCTCTACCATTCTCAAGCTGATTCGATCCTTCACACTCCCTCCTGCATTGAAGAATTCACACTTTGCCACTGGGGAAGGACAGAGGATAACAGATCAGGTGGTTCTGATTTCGATTAAGTAAGCCTATCTCTCCTTTAGAATTTTCTTTAGGATTCTGCCAAATTCAGTTCTGAATGCCTACATTCACAGGGCTCACACTACTTGGGAGATTCTTGGGAGACTTGCTAAGCATCCCCTTTCAGGAAGATTTTACACACTCAGATTTTCTTTAGTTACATCTGGTGACATTTTCTATCATTTGAATAGTATTATGGTGCTTAATGAGAATATAAAGATTTAAATGCTTCATTCTGTCCAACACACTTGCACATTTATCACAGAAGAGATCACTGATCCCTTCGCTATACTAATAAGGGGACCCAGAGATTAAGGGGGTAGTCAACAGTGTCAAGAGAGATCAAGAATAAGGGCTTTTTTTTGTGACAGAAATCTTTATTAAAATGTGTCCTTCAATAACATGTTTGCATACATACAATATACACACACATACATATATACACTCTGACACACCTCACGGATCACCACCAGCTGTTTAACCAATAAATTAAAACTAAAAAAAAAAAAAGGAGGGGAAAGGGAGGGACTGGAGGGTAGAGCCGAGGGGGTAAAATTTCCATGTTTCATCTTGTAAGAAATGGCATCTTTTCCAGAGCTACACTGGGGTAAACCTGTGACCAGAGAATATTTGAAATAAAATACATTAACTAAAAAAAGTTTCCAAGAGATGCAGTTACAAGTGTGCTTCTCCAGACAGGAACCTTCGACTTCATACTCTGACTTCCACACCTTCCAACTTCAAGATCATTTCCTCTGACTTATGCCCCTCCACTTGGGCACAGTGGTTCATGTGGGCACTTGGGCTCTGTGTGCCTCTGGCTCGGGGAGTATGGGGGTGGGCTGCAGTCTGGGAGCAAGGGGAGCCACATTCATCTGACGTGATGTCCTGCACATCATCTGACTGTGTGTCCGAGCTCTCCAAGTCGCTTTGGATACTCTCGGGCTGTGCCAAGGTGATGTCCCAGGTTTTGCTGGCAATGCAGTCCTTATGATCACAGCTTTGGTGTTTGCACGGTGGCTCCTCTTCACTGCCTTCCTCATTCTCTGCCATCTGGGCATGAACGTGTACAGAGTCCTCTGTGCTACTTCCACTAACCAGCTGATAATGGCTAGGTTTGGCCTCAATGTCCACTTGGATTTCCATATTTTGCACTCTCTGTCCTGGGGATTGTAGGAACTGATTATGGAACCAGCCATCGCACGAGTGCTGGCGTTGTCGCTAATGGCGCCAAGACTGGCCGTGTCTTTGGGGAAAATTTCCTTTTGGATATCATCTTGGACTTCCAGCCTGCTGTACTTTCCCTTGCCACTGGAGAGAACTCCACCGCTCAGAGTGCCCCGAGAGAGCTGCAAAGCTGGCTGTCTCACTATAGTTGCCCTGCATGACACCGAGTCCATCTGTGGGGCTCCCACTGGTACTCAGCGCACTGGTCATCTTCTCTTCCTAGATACTTTGTCCTGCCTGGCCTTTCATGACACTACTCCCTCTTGGCTATCCTATTTGTCTGGTCTTTCTAAGTCTCCTTTGCTGAATCACTGTCCTTGTCTTACTCTCATTCATTAATATACTCCAGGGCTCTGTCTTCTTTCTTCTGCCTGTTCTTTCTCTAGATGATTCCACCACTTCCTTCTTTCATCTCTATGCAGATGACTCCTCTATGTATCTAGCCCTATCCTAAAATTCAGACTTGTATTACCAACTGCCTACTGGAATCTCCAACTGGATGTCTCGTAAGTATCTCAAACTTAAGACTGTCCAAAATAGAATTCATTAACTATTCTCCAAAATGCTCCCCTGTTTCAAACATCCCAATCCTTCCAGTAACCCAGCTTCAAACTAAGAATCATTCTCAACAGTTCCTCCTTCCCCATCCAATCATTTTCTAAGCTGTGTCAATTCTGTTTCCACAATGTTTCTCCCATCTGTCCCCTTCTCTCACAAACGCTACCATTCTAGTCTCTTGCCCGGATTATTGCAAATGCTTCCTAAATTTATCTTCCTACCTCTCCTCTCTTCTCTCTATAATTCATCTGTCATGTAGCTTCCAAACTGATATTTCTAAAGCATAGGTCTGTCCATGCCATTCCCCCACTCAAGAACATTGCCTGTAGGATGAATACACAAACTCCTTTGACGTTTAAAGTCACTTATAACCTGGTTCTATAAACCCTTCCAGGCTTTTTGAACATTTAACAGTGGGATAGCTTATGCATATAGAGGGACTTGCCTTGGCAAGAAGTAAGATTACTTCTTCATGTGAGTGAAGGAGGAGATAAGGGGTCAAAGCTATCTGAGATGGGAGATGAGGGGGCTCACAGAAAATGACCTCAATTTTTTCTGTAAAACATGAGGCAACAGAACAACTAAGTGGTGCAGTGGATAGAGCACCAGCCTTGGAGTCAGGAGGACCTGAGTTCAAATCGAGCCTCAGATACTTGACACTAGCTATGTGACCCTGGGCAAGTCACTTAACCTCAACTGCCTCACCAAAAAAAAAAAAAGAAAAAAAAGACTTCAAGAATATAAGGGAAAAAAAACCATGAGGCAAGATGCTTAGCTGAAGGAGGAGGGGAAGCCTTGGGAGGTTTGAAGGAGGATGAAAAGGTGGGAAGAGTAACCGTGGAGAGTGGGATAATGAGTTGATAAGGGGTCTAAACTTCTTGAGAAGGCCATAGGTACCTTCACTTTCTCTTCTCCCACTTTTTCTAACTCCATAACAATTTGGCTTCTGACCTCATCGTTCCACCAAAACTACTCTCTCCAAAGTTACCCGTGATCTTTTCATTGTCAAATCCAATGGCCTTTTCTCAGTCCTCCTTGACCTTTCTACAGCCTGTGACATCACTGATTACCCCCTTTTCCTTAAACATTCTCTCAAGATTTTCAGGACATCATTCTCTCTTGGTTCGCCTCCTATCTATCTGATCACTCCTTCTCAGTCCTCTTTGCGGCATCCTCATCCAGGTCACGGCCTCTATCTAACCACAGTGTTGGGCCCTCTTCTCTTCTCCCTCTATACTGCTTCAGTTGGTGGAGCTCATCAGCTGCCATGGACTTAGTTACCATCTCTATGTTAATGATCCTCAAATCCACCTTTCCTGTCCTAACCTCTCTGCTGACCTCAAGTTTTGCATCTATAACTGCCTTTCAGACATTTCAAACTGGATGTCCAGCAGACATCTTAAACTCAACATGTCCAAAACTGAATTTATTATCATTCCTCCTAAACACTTTCCAGACTTCCCTACTACCACACTCCCAGTCTCCCAGGCTTACAACTTAGATGTCATCCTCAGCTTTTCATCATCTCTTCTCCCTCTCCCCATATCCAAGCTGTTGCTGAGGCTTGCTGACTTCACCATCTTGATGTCTCTCAAACACAGCCAGGCCCTCATTGCCTTAGGCTGGGATGGTGGGTCTGCCTGCCTCAAGTCTTTCCCCATTCCAACCCTTCCTCCATTCAACCACTAAAGGGATTTTCCTAAAGTATAAGCCTGATTTTATCACCCCCTTGCTAAAAAAATTCCAGTGGCTCTTGATCACCCCCAGGATTAAATAGAAATCATTTATTTTGGCATTCAAAGCCCTTCCATATCCTAGTCCCCAGGCTTTCCAGTCTTACACTTTACTCCCTGCTACACATACCCTTGGATCCAGTGATAGTGGCCTCCTTGTAGCTCTTTGAACAAGACACTCCATCTCTTGGCTTTGGGCATTTTCTTGCCAGGGATGTTCTCCCTCAACTCTCCCTACTGGCCTCCCTGGCTTCTTTTAAGACCCAACTAAAATTCTATGTACTACAGGAGGCTTTCCCCAACCCCTCTTAATTCAATTGCCTTCTCTTTGTTAATTATTTTCTGTTTATCCTGTATACGGTTTGTTTGTACACATTTATTTGTATGTGAACTCCTTGAGTGAAGAGACCGTTTTGCCTTTTTGTAGCCCTAGCACAATGCATAGCACAAAGCAGGTGTTTAGCAACTATTTTGATTCCCTTACTTCACAGACTAGCTACACCTGCTTTCTTGTTGTTCCATGGATACAACACTTTATCAATGACTCTGAATTTTTGTCCCAACAACCTCCTACTTTATAAAGGTCAAGGGCTACTTCCTGAAAAGAGCCTATTCTGATATGACCAATATAACCCTCCAGAAACCAGTGTGACCATTTCTTTAAAATTTTTATTGTTTGTATATTACCAAGAGAACTTAAGTTCCTTAAAGTCAGAGACATTTCCTTTTTTCTGTTTGTACTCTCAGCACATAACAAAGTGCTTGACATACAGTAGGCACTTAATAAATATTAAGGGCAGCTTTGAATGTTACATGTTTAAATTATCATGTAATTAAAAGAAAAAGCAGACTATACTGGAGAAAGATTTGTCATGTACAGTCCTCTTCTTCTGTTCTACTTTGTCTAGGGAAATGTTCATTTTCTTTGATGCGTATTAAGTTCAGTATCAGTTAAGCTTTCGTCCATAGCATGAAGATTTGGTTAGAACACATTAAAATCACTACAAAGACATTGGTTGTGTGCAGTACTCCTATAACCCCAAACTACCATGTTGTTGTTCAGTCATGACCAACCCTTCGTGATCTCATTTGGGCTTTTCTTGGCAAAGATACTAGAGTGGTTTGCTATTTCCTTCTCGAGTTCATTTAGCAGATAAGGAAATTGAGGCAGACAGGATTAAGTGACTTGCCCAGTCATGCTGCTAGTGTTCGCAGCCAAATTTGAACTAAGGAAGATACGTTTTCCCGATTCCTGGCCCACTGATCTATCCACTGCACCACCTAACTGCTGGAAAACTGTCCTAGTTCATAAGTTTTCAATTCCTCTATGAAGCTAAAATACTTACAAAGTTCACATTTCAGTCCAAAGTTCTTCCCAATCTTATTGATTCTGACCATAGGTGTGTCCCCAATTTTCTTCAAAATATCAGGAATGACTTTGGGTGTCTTTGACCTGAAGAGACCAATTTGTACGTATAATCAGAAGAAAAAAAAAGAACCCACCGGATTTAGCAGCAACAACTGAACATATACTTTTGTTGTTCTATGGTGACAATAAATTATCACGTGAATACAGACATATTTATAGTCACCACCAATTTTTTTTTTTGGTGAGGCAATCAGGGTTAAGTGACTTGTCCAAGGTCACACAGCTAGGAAGGGTCAAGTATCTGAGGACAGATTTGAACTCAGGTCTCCTCCTGACTCCAGGGCTTGGTACTCTATCTACTGTGACACCTAGCCACCCCAGTCACTACCAATTTTTAAAAGTGCAAATCAAAACAGCTTTAAGATATACCTATCAGAATCACAACATTTCAGAGTTGGAAGGGAACTCAGACACCATCTAATCCAACCCAGACCTGAACAAAATCCCTTCTACAGCTAGAAGAAAAAACTTTATACTCTGACCCTGTAATTTCACTCTTAGGGATCATTGCTGGGGGGGAGGAAGAAGCACCTGGAGCTATGATTTCATATGTATAGAGACCACCCTGTGTGAAAATGAACTCTACAATGCAGGTTGGCAACTCACCTCAGCTTCGACACACAAGGAAATTCATACCCTTGATCGCAAAAATAAAAAATCCATCTACTCTACATATACTTATTCATATAGTGTCTCTCCCATTAAAATGTGAGCTCTTTGAGGGCAAAGACTGATTTGTTGGGTTTTTTGCTCTTCTTTGTATCTCCAATGTGCTATAGCACAGTGGTTATCACATAGCAAAGACTTAATAAATGATTAACTGAAATACCTTTTTTAGACCATAACTTCCTATCACTTCATCTCTTCCTATGCTTTAAACCTTCTAACCCTATTCTTGCTCTTCCCCTGAGACCTGAAATACTTTCATCTCTCAACATTCTCCCAATCTCTGCGGAATTGGGTACGATGGACTACCACAATCTTCTCTTTTTCTCTTGCCTTGTCTGTTTGCTCTTTGTCAATTTTATTGGTTCATGCACCACATTGCATACCCTAACTGTGGGTGTACTGTTTTCAAGAGAAAACTCAATATTGTTGGGAATATAAAGGGAATTCTTCATGTGGAAATTGAACTCTTTGTCTAAGATCACAGGATCAACAGGAACTAAAACACAAGGTCTTCCAATCCAATGTTCTATTATTATGTCTTTTACTGCTTCATTTTCCCAATCACGTCCTGGCTTTTAAAGCGCTCTGTCCCCAAACCCACATACTCATCTCTTTTCCTCCTAATTTGTTCACGTTCATTTGTATCATCTGCTGAGTAATAGCAATTTTGGAAGCTTCTGTCCTTTGGGTGAAGTTTGGAGGAAAGGATAGGTTTTACTTCTGTCTAGTTATTTTATGTTGATTGGTTCATTTCTGTAATTTTACCTTCTCTCTATCCCCTCCCACACCCCTTTACAGCTTCTTTTGAATTTTGAATCAAGGACCTTCAATAAAGGGTTGTCTCTTGTTTTTGTTTTTATTTTTGCTAACATTTGCATTCCCAACATTTAGGACAGAGTTCAGCACATAATAAGTGTCTTAATAAATGCCTGTTGATTTGACTTCACTCTCAAAGCCTCTGGTGCCTAAACAGAATTTAACCGCTGTTGCTAAGGATTCAAATGGTGGTATGGGCTAATGTGGAGAATTTCAAAAAGAAAACACTTACAAGGAGACATGATGATGAGGAGATTCTGAGATAGGTTTGCCTAGCTGCCAAGTACACTTGCTAGGGATGTCAGGCCGGATCCACTTTCGATCCTTCTCACAGTTCTCACAGTTAGCTGATGACTCTAGGTTCACATTCTCCAGCTTGCTGCTAGAGAGATGAGCGGAAACCCTGGTTTCCTTCTCCATCTGGGAAGGCTCAACAGGCATCCTATATGGAAGCTAAGGGCAAAAGGAACAAGCAACAAACATTCTATTTAAGATTTGTCCTACATTTAAAAAATTATTTTCACTTTTTAAAGTTTTATTAATGCCATTTATTTTTTACATTACACTATGATCTGGATATACCTCTTCCCACATTCTTCACAACCCCAGCCCTGCCTTTCTTTGTAACAACGAGAAACAATCAAGCAAAACTGATCATGCAGCAACTACCTATGAAATATTCTTTACCAACTCTCCTTAGCTCTAATAGGGAAAAGATTGGTCATAATTTAAAAGTTGGGACTGGTCACATTGTTCTTTTTGTTGACATTCTTATCATTACTCATGTTGTTTTATTATTTCTCCTTTAGTTCATACATTTCTTCTCATATTTCTCTTTTTCTTATTCCTCATTTTTTATGGCACAACATTCAATTATTTTAATATTCCAAAATTTGTTCAGCCATTCCTCAATCAATGGGTATATGCATTGTTTCTGGTTCTTTGCTACCACAAAAAATACTGCTATGAATATTCTACTATATATGGAATCTTTCTGTCTTTGACATTCTTGGTCATATGCTCAGATATTTTCTTTAAAAAGTTAGTGATCATCTGTTCTTTTCCTTCAAAAGACTGAAGAGCATTTAACAACCAATTCTTTCTAGTTAAAGCGTGGTAATGCACAACTGATGCTAGGGTTGTTTTGGATCTAAATTAGACACTTCATAGGGACACACTCAAATGAAGTTATTTGTCCCCCTTACACACCTCCAAAAGCACTTGTATGTTCCATATTTATTTGTAAAATGGTAGAGCTAGAAAGGACCTAAGAGCTCAATCATCTAGCTGTACCCCCTCATCTTTCTGACATGAGTTTAATATACATGTTATGTGTTGCTTTATAAACCTTAAAGTGTTATATAAATACTAGCTATAATTATTTTAATAGTTCCCCCCTCCTCCACCAATTTAAGGATGAAAGAGAAGAGAAAAGGAAAGTTCTGTACAGGTATACAAACATTCCTAGAGTTTCTTTTTCCTTTGCCCTTGAAGACATTTGGAGTCTGCTATGCCATTCCGTTATTTCCACATTGCCAGTGGTGCTGGTGACTGATGGTTGGGTAACTGTTAATGCTGGAAAGGGTTGGAGGCACTGCAGTGGTGGATGTGGCTAGCATGGCAATGTTGTGAAGAACCTACTAAAACCTTCCCTGGAAGCTCAGGACTGATGACCTCAGGTTGGGAGATTGTCTCTTCCCTTGATCTTATCCATGATTCATGTGCCAGAAGGAAGTTTTATTGGGAAAGGCTATCAAGCAAAGAAATTTCTTTACAGCCCTGCTCTGTGCCAACTCCAAAATAGTGCTTTACCATGTTTTTAATAAACCCCATGGCCGGTGAAAATTTAACTGAGAACTGACTTCCCAAATGTGAGGCTGGGTAGAACCACTAAGAAAATCAATGGAGATTTATGCAATTTTAATATGTAAGAAGAGTTTGGGAACTGACTAGTATTCTGGAATTTGAAATTCAGAGGAACATCCATACCCTTTCTAGATTCAAGAGAAATTTGGACTAGCATGATCTTTGAACCAGGAAGTAGACTGGACTCCCACCCAGAAGTTTTTTAAAAAAGGATATAAGCTCCATTAGAGAGCAATTAGCAACAGCAGCAGCAGCAGTTCATACCTAGAACTTAATAATTATTTGACTAGAAAGGAAGTAATAGCCAAGAGGATAATGGGTGATCAGAGAGAGAAGAGCTGAGCTACATAGAAAGGAAAGAGAATACAAAGGACATCTGGCACACACCCTCTGGCAGGAATAGGGGAATATTCCTGACATACACAGTTGGTTTTAAGTTGCCTATTCAAGGCCTGAGGGAAGCTCCAAAAGGTCAACTCTGGCCCCAGTCTCCTCTTCCTAAGCCTATCTGATAAGCAGATTTTCTTATCTCTTTTTATCTAAGCTCTTTATACTGATTTTTCTTCATATAAAAATCAGTGATCTGTACACTCAGTCTATGTCAAAAAAGGAGGGAGGAGGCTGGGGTTAGCTGTAAACATATAGAATTTAAATAAATTAGAGATCTAGACTTCTTTCCTAAGGGGGGGGAGGGAGGTCAGAGCTATAATGTTACTAATAACTTTTTATCTTACACAAATTCCACAAACTAGCAAAGAAAGGGAGTCACTATGGCGAGACTAAAAAGTGAGCCAATTGTTGTAACAAGGTGTCACTGATTAAATCCTAGCCTGAATTGAAAGCAGGAGACAAAAGGGAAAGTTGGACAAAGAAAGGAGAGAAAAGAAAGAGGGATAGAGAGGAAGAGTGTTTAAGAGATGCTAACCAAAAAGATTGTATCCTAAAACAGCTTCATAGAAGGAGCTCATTCCTTGCTTTAGTTCCTCTGAGAACCTCTATTTTAAAGAAGCACCTCAGCCAGTTATATTGACTTCATTGATCTCTGGGTTCCACTCCTGACTCTCTGGACTTCTTTCTCCATCGTTACTCCAGTCTTCTATCCTAGAAGACACTTCCTCCCTGTGGCTTTCTTACCTTAGAAAATCTTTCATTCATTTGGTCCCCTCCTCAGATCGGTGACTTCCCCCCAGAACCTCCATTTTTGAATAAGTGCCTAAGCCAGCCACACTCGCTCCATCATTTCTCTTGAGCTTCTCTACTTCTGACTCACCTGATTTCTCCACCGTGCCCCAAAGCAGGAGCCTCTACCGCCACTCCTTCCAGCTCCCTTCTATGTACTGTCTTCCCCCCACCACAGTGAAAGCTCTTTTCTTTTTCTTTGTATTTGCATTCCTAGCGCTAAGCACAGTCCTGACAAACACTAAGTACTTAATAAATTTTTGTTGACTTCACTTGAGGTCTGGCCTCCGGAGACTCAGTTCTGCACCTTCCCAGAAGAAGGGAGGATGGAGAATAAGTAACAGCCCAGCAACTCAATAGTAATTGACTTCAATAGCAATGCTTGCTGGTTTCAAGAACAATATTTCAGTTTGTTTTTTCCCCGTACTCCAAAATCTATATTGAAACAGTGGGGCAGTAGCAGTCTCGCAATCAGGAGGGGAGAGGGGAGAAGTCTAAGAGCTTGTAAGAAGAGGTGTCCTCTAGTGAGCAGTGATGACACCATAGCCTTTGGGAAATCCAACAGATGGGCAGTGACCACCCTCTACTGAAAACCACTTAGCTGGTAGCTGGTGGTAATGCCATCTGGTGGTCAAATTGTGCACTACACTCCCTTGCTAGTTAATTCACAAGCTGCTTTTTCTGTAGGCTTATAAGCAGAGAATGAGCTAACTGTGCAGTGTCTTATTCAGTAGTGTCAAACTCAAATTGAAATAGATACCTGAACCACATATTTACTTAGAAAACCACAAATTAACATAATCTATACTGTATTATGTTTTATTTATTTTGTTAAACATTTCTCAATTACGGTTTAATCTCCTTCCTCCTGCCAGTCTGCCTTATGTCACCTAAGATACTCACAAGTACATGCCAGCCTGTATTGCTGATACCCACACAAGAAAAGTAAAGCCTAGAAAGGGGAACTAACTCATTCAAGGTCACATAGCTCATTACCTTATGAAACTAGGAATCAGGTAAAGACTAATGGAAAAACATGAACTGAATGCAGAAAGAAAAAAATCCGTGAATGCCATTAGATGGTATACTATAGAACAAAAGGGGCAGATGGTACGTAAGACACTTCCCTCTTCTGGATTTTGTGGATGATAAGAGAAATAAATACTATTCATAATAAAATTTTATGTTGTGCTTTAAGGTTTGTAAAGCACTTTCATCTCAATGACACAGAAAGATAGGTAATACAAATACCACTCTCCAGATATATACAGAGGGAGAAAATGAGGCTTTAAGAGGGTAAGTAACTTGTCTATAGTCCCTTAACCAGCCAGTAAAGTGCTGCCTTGAAAAGATGAGTAAGATGTGGTCAATCCATCAAGAAACAAGCATTTATTCAGCACCTAGTACGTCCCAAGCATGGCGCTAAGAGTTAGGGCTACAAAAACAAGCTTGAACAGTCACTGCCTTCAAGAAGCTTCTCAGGGGGATAACTTGGACACAGAGAACTAAACACAAAGTATATTCAAGATCAATGCAAAATCAATGTGGAAAGAGCACACGAGGAAAAGCCTGAAATAGGAAACTGCACTTTTGAATTGAGTTTTAAGAAAGTTAGGGACCCTAAAAATTGGAGATGAGGAAAGCACACCCTCCAGGTATAAGAGAAAGCTTGTGCAAAGGCACTGAAATATGAGAAAGAATATTATGTACAGGGAAGAGCAAGGCACACGGTGACCATGTGCAAAAATGTCTCTTTTTGTACTCTGAGTCCATTATTTCTGTCAGGAGGTGGGCAACATTCTCTGGAAACATGTTGATAATTGTTTTGATCAGTGTTCTTAAATCTTTCAAAGTTATGGGGTTTTTTTAAACAATATTTTTGTCCTTCAATACACTCACAATTGTGTCCCCTCCAATCGCCTCTCTATACCACTGGTACAGTTTAGCTGATTTTCCCATCTTTGTTCACATTAGTTTCTTTCTATATCTACTACAAGCATGTCCAAGTTTGTGATGTGGTTTCACTTGTTCTTGGCTAAGAAATGCTTGTTAGAAGGATCTGTATGAATCTTTGACATTATTTTTCTTTGTTGTCCATCCTTTTTCATCCTTAAATATCCTTGGCATGACTTTGCTTAGTTGAATCTCTCGCAAAGCTTTCTTTGAACCTATTTTACCCTTCACTGCATCTCTGTACTTTATGAGATCGTGATGCTCACAACTGTCCATCCTTCTTCATAAGATTTTACAGATGAGTTTATGTTCTAACAATTTTGCCTATGGCAAAATTTCTTTCCATATGTAAGACAAAGGTCTGCTGATTAAAGCACTTTCTGTGCTCTTCTGGTATTCTTGTGGCATTTAATTCACACTGGTTAAATTCCTGTATAAAATTAGTATCTGAAGCT